CCCGCGTCCCCCGAAGATGGCCCGAGCCTGCGAGACGATGGCCCCATAGGCGGCTACGAGTGATTTCAAAGGTGTGCATGACACTATAGGCAAGGAGGACCGCCGCTGGATCAATGCGAACGCGCGGCGCGACGTCATCAGCGTCCCCCAGCCCTACGACCTCTTCACAGCGGTCCGCGATGGTCGGCCGAAGCCGAGCATGGACTGGAACGCCTCACCTACGATTCTGGCGAAGAAGTGCGACAGACGGCGTCCAAATCCGCGCAGATCGACGCGAAGACGTCCAAATCGCGTAGGTCGACGCTCTCCTTGGACAAGTACTTCTACCGGTTCATCACGTGGACCCAGGACGACCCCATCGGAGTCGACGACGACGACGTGTTCTTCGCGGACAAGTCTGCCAAATGGAGCGCCTCGCCCGTCGAAGGCTGCAAGTCTGATCGAGAGTACCGGTCTGGTTCGTCTCACGCTGTCGACGACCTGCGGCGCCGCGCCCAGCCCTGCTCGTGCTCCAAGTGCCGCGTGAAGGACTACGACAACTGCCGCTACAAGGCGTGGACCGCGGCCCCCGAGATGCGCCAGAGCGACGGCTGGACCCGCACGACCATCATCCTGAAGCCGCCCTCCGGCGATGACCGCTCGAGCGCGCGCGTCATCGCCCAGGGCCTGGCGGAGAAGGACGCTCGTCTCGCTGCCCTCGCTCCGAAGATCCGCAAGGGCGATGTGGTCGCCTTGGGCATCTCTCAGAGCGAACGTGACGCCCAGGGCGTCGACTTCTACCTCGCCAAGGTCGTCGTGCCACCGGCGCGCGCGGACAACCAACGTCGGGTCAACGGCTCGGGGCGCGACGGCTGGAACATCAAGAAGGGCGAGTTCTGCTTGACCGTGCGCTGGTTCGACCTGAAGCCGTGCGGCTACTACGAGGACTACGGGTCCCAGGACGAGCAGCTCCTCGAGATGGTCATCGCGGTCGGCGACGGCGCCGCGCTCGTGCTCGAGCCCGCCCCTCGGAAGGGCAGGGCGCG